ATAGTATATAATAAGAAACAAGATAAATAAAAATAAAAATAAAAATAGGACAAATCCAATTCAGTGGCACGGAATTTCCAAGGTCTCACGAATTCTCCTTCTGAAGTTGGATTTGAACTTCCAGCCCCACACAAGGATGTTTTGGCACCTGACGTGGTCCAGCCGTTAGCTCACAGGACAAATAGATTCCTGTCACATTCACTCACATGTACATGTAAGAAAGACGCTCTGACAGCATTGAAAGCTTTTGATTGGTGAAACATTGACTCTGCTTCAGTGTCTTGTTTCTTATTATGTCTACTTCAGAAGTTTTTTGTAAGTCTGCTACATAGTTGGGAAACAATATTTTTACTTGACTAAAGGTATACTGTTGGTAACTTAAATTTATAAAAATTATGTACACGTAGGTAATGGCAAAGCAAGCACACAATACATACATGTACTACAGATTCATTTTTGTATTCTAAAATATATTGTAGCATATACATACATGTAAATGTATACAATATATTTTGCCTTCCAGGAATATGAAATTGACCAGAAGTTGGGTATCAAGGTAAGATTAGTGTACATGTAGCTTTATTTTAATCACCACTGAACAAGAAAATTCTTCTCATTCTGCTCATTCAGAAGTGGCAACTCCTCTCAACCTCTATCTGATCTCTATCTACTAGTTTTTGACAAGTTTCAACTGGTTTAATTAATGCATGACAGATAAGATTCAAAGCACTATCAATTGATAGGGCTGCTGACAATATCTGCGGCCCTTTGTAATTGATAGGTTACAAAATTGCAATTGGCCCCTTTTACACTGACATGGGTTCATTTGGTCAATGTAGTTAACTGCATGGCAGTCTTTGATCTCTTGATCTTTGCAAAGTTCCAATAACTATTGCTGTATATCAATGACCTTTACAAGCTACTCAATGTCAAACAAAACAGCTTGATGCGAGTGTTGACTGACAGGTTAAAAAACGGTTTTGATTATTTTGAAATCAAACAGTTTGTTTGAATATGACAGCCATTCAATGAGATGGCTTGAAAAGCCATTTTTAAAAATATTTAGTGGAAGTTTTGTGGTCCAGCTTTATAATTGACA